CAACTTTGGAGCAGGCGGGACTTGAGCTGGACCTCTTGACTCAGAGGGTACGGACACTACCACTGCGCTACAAGAACTCTCTGGGTCTGCTTGTTTTCCCCCTAAATCAACCTGTTTTAAGATGTTATTACACACCTCTGAAGTAGATGGAACTTGAACCCAGGCATCCTGGCTCAGAAGTAGGTACACGACCATGGTGCCACAAGAACCCTCTGGCTGGGTCTGCTTTTTTAAAAATAATTAATTAACTGAATACAAAACTAACCCAGCTCCGATGGTGGGATTTGAACTCATATCACTAAAGCATTAGTTGCAACTATTAGTATCCAAATAACATAAATATTATGCTACCACATGCCCCTCAGGCTGCTGTTTCCTTCATTTTTTTGTACCCAGCTGTGCTATCATGCACAACTGAGTGAATTTCCCTCCACCAAAATACCACAACTTCTTTTGCATTTTCTTTTTTTTAAAACTACTAACCGCACGTGTAGTCAATTAAATATTTACAAGCAACACCCAATATGGGCAATGTAAACCATCAAAAGTAATGGGGAGGTAAGGAGAGAAGGACGGGGCTAAATAAAAATGGAGTTGGCTGGCAAAATAAAGCACTGTATTTTCCACAGTGCCTACCTCTCTCGAAACATATTGAGAGCTTTGATGGACACTGTACTCCCTCTCCAAGGACACCTGTGCTGGGTTTTGCTTTTATTTTTATTTGACTCAGATGCGTTCACACACACAACTGATGGACTTTCCCACCAACAAAATCGCAGTAACTTTTTTTTATTTTGTAAAAAAAAACTACCAACTGCCACCAGTGAAAATATCCGTGTAGCCAATTAAATATATACAAGCAAAGTCCATTATGGGCAATGCAAACCATAAAGCTGGGGGAGGGTGGATTGTTGGGAAAGAAGGAAGGGACTAAGTCAAAATGGAGTTGGCTGGTGAAATGAAGCATTGTATTTCCCACAGTGCCCACCTCTCGTGCTCCGTTTCCAAGGACACCCGGTCTGGGTCTTGCATTTTTTAAAATTTAACCTATGTTTTTAATCAACCTCTTCAAAGAAATCCAGTTCAGCAGGCCATTGCTTGTTACCAAGGAAACTCATACTTAGTGAGCACTGTGAGGAGGTTGGTTAGTGATACCCTATGGGCCTTGTAGGGGTTATCACGGTTACTTTCATCCGATGATTGACAGTTATTTTCCTAAAGACTGTCCATATGGTAAAAATGCTCCTGCATCATTACCTTCAGGACATCCATACTGCCACCATTGGGAAACTTGCAAATGAGATATAAATATGGTAAACATTAACAGAACAACCTGGAGGCAGCTGCCAATAATTGGGACCTCTGGAAACTTTGTTCCAGAAAAGGCAGAAGAAATGGAAAGGTCAACATGCTAAGACGAATAACACTAAGGTGACCATCACATTGTGAAGACCACAGTCTCAGAAGACTGCCAAAGTGATGTGAAAATGAACACAAATCTCTCTTATTGAATATTTTTACTGTGCAAGAGTAATTTTAAACTGACTTGCTGCTCAGCAGCAAGATTTGATTTCCATCACCAAGACTTCCTATTATCACCTCTGCAACATAGCCTGACTTCTTCTCTGTCACAGTGCATCTGTTACAGAAACCCTCATTCATATTTTGGTTAACTCTAGACTTGACTGTTAAACAGACTTATGGCTGATCTCCCACATTTCACACTCCATAAACTTTTGATGTCATACATTCCTTTGTTGCCCATGACTTTACTTTTTACCAAGTCATTCTCACCTACCACACCTGGGCTTGCTAACTGACATTGGACGCTGGTAATGCAATACCTTGATTTTAAAAATTGCATACTGTTTTCAAATCCCTCCATGGCTTCCCTCCTTTGTTTCTGTAATCTCCATAAACCCTGGAATTTCCTCCCTACACCTCTCCACCCCACTATCCTGCTTTAAGACACATCTAAAAGCCAACCTGTTTAAACAAACTGAGATAACAAGGTGTAGAGCTGGATGAACACAGCA